TAAATACACACATCTCTTTGCCTCATCTTCACATTCATATGGCATTTGGTATATATGAGAAGAGCAAATATCGCGTCTAATGCAAACGACCGGTGCGTATATGAATACGAGACAGTGAATATTGTGTTCAACACTGGTACTGTGCTACAGCTACTGCTGCTTCCGTTGGCCAACAGTTTCTTACGTGATTATCTATGAGCATCTTATTGTGCGTTTGTTTTACCAGGACTTAGGCATTGCCATGCTTTACCGAAACATGTAATTCGAAATGGAATCGGAGCGAGTGCTCTTTCTCTCTCTCTCTCTCTCTCTCTTTCTCTCTCTCTCACACACATTGTACATTTTGGATGGGAAGAAGGGGGACTTGTTTGTCGAACTGACGATTCTTTTGAACAACGAAAGGATCTAGAACAAACAATGCAACAATGGAAGTGAACGAGAACGAGAGCAAGATAGACAATGTGAGTGTATGTACAAGTTTGTGTGCTATTCTCATTGTGATATCTTAATTTATATGTCTTCAGTTTGAATTCGATATGCCTGTGTGTGGTTGAATGCTCGAAATTAGGTACCTTTTGTAATTGTATGCTCTGGCAAACAATAAACGATAAAAAAAATAGAAGAGAACAGAAGAGAATGGAAAACTACTTAAAGGAATGACCACACCACAACTGTTCCACCTGAATGCGTTTGTTGCGTTTCAGAAGCATTTTCTCATCGGTCGATTGAAGAAATGGCGCGCTCACTCGCACTCGTCAGCTGAACCCCAATTAACTTGCATTAATCTTCTGAATAATTATATTATATCGTTTCGCCCATAAACTTGCGCGCACCCGATGCCAAAATACGAAAACAAACACACACACACACACACACACCCACCGACACCAACACATGCACAGAGGAAAATTCTCAAAAAATGAAACACATGAAGAACATTGTTCCTCGTGAATGCCTCCGATGATGGAATTATTATTATATTCCATTGTTTTTAGACACGACGAAATTAGGCATTTTCCATTTGGTTGATATTTTCGTGCCTCCGTCGACACCGTCGAAAACTCATTCACTCGAATACATTGAGTAAATAAAATAATCGCTTCAAATAACAAATTCGTCGACGAAATTCATTTTCGTTGAACGGCGAGAAAAGTAATTCGGCAATCATTGAACATTGAGAATGACGACATCAGGCAAAATCATTAAGCGATAAATTGTATTTCCATCGGGTTAGGCCCATCCACCACCATCACAACGGGCCGAACCAAAAACCGTGTTCGAACAACATCGTCATAATGGTAATACTCATTACTCGAAATTATTTGCAGCCAAGCTAAAAGGATTTGACTTTACACAGGGATGTAGCCGAGGAATCGGGGAATTGAAACGTTTTGCGGCATAGAAAAACATTCACCGAATTCAGTCGAATCGAAAGAAAATAAAAACTCAATTAGACTTATATAAGCCGCTTCCGTTTCTATTGGCTTTTTATGAGAAATATCTTTTGATCGCAACCACTTCATGTTTTTCTTTGTGCGATGCCAAAAGCGGCGTGTATGCGTTTGCCTTTTTCCCTTTTTCGCCATTGCCTTTTGTATGTGTGAATGTTCTTTGAAAGGGGTCCACCCGAAAAATTAAACGTCATTAAATATCAATATAATTTGACGGTTCTGGAAATGTCGAAATAACACGTAATTGAAATATCCGTTCAAGTTGTCGTAAACACCATAACAATATGAAATTGAAGAACGAAGAGCGAACAAACGAAAATAAGGACGCCAAGCGTACGGAAATTGAGTTGCACACAAAGCAAATCAATTCGGCAAACGGCAACCGCGCTCACGCTCAAGAATGTGCCAGAGAGAGAGAGAGAGAAAGGCAGAGGAAAAACATGTTTCAAGAAAGAAATTACATGGCAAACAAGCGAGAAGAATGTTGTTCTTCGCTATTTCATTCCCTTTCTGTTCCTCTCGTTTGCTCGTTCGCTCATGAGTTAGTTGGCCATTTAGTTGTCACTGAATGAAAATCGACGTGAAAACTTTGCCGCATTTTCTTTCGACAATAGCAATGACGAAGAAAAAAAAATAATGATTTTAATGTGCAAAGTCATTAAAAGTCATCAAAACCGAAAGACATATTTAAATGTCGTTTAAGGCGCTTACATTCCAATGACCGAATTCATATCGATTTTGTTGCCGAGTTTCGGCATTTTCCTTTTACTTCTTTTTTATTACTTGAATTGGGCTCGCCTTTGAATGGTTATGAAACGATGCCGATGACGATTTTTTTAAAGAGAAAGAAGGTGACTTAAGAAAAACTCGCTCAAGTTGTTACTTTGACTGCATAATTAATTCTGATAATCTTTCTTGATTCGCTTCGATCGCCACTCCAACATCTCTTATAACACGAAATCATTTCCATTAAAATGTCGTGGGCCGGAAAAATTAATGCATTCAAACTTTGTGTATGTTTATGTTTATATTTAGATTTGGAACTTTTTCGGGCAATGTTCTTTCGTTCATTCATGGTTTTTTCTTTCTTTCTTTTTCCGTTGTTGTTATAGTTTAGTTTGATAATGTGGTGCCATAACACACAAACAAAGCTGCAAACTAGTCAAAAGAACTTTTCGATCAAATGAACAATATTATACATATTCCATTCTTCTACTTCTTCTTCTTTTTCCCCGGCTTCAATGATAACCGTCCGCATAAGCGTTTTCCATATGGAAAATTGAGGGGTTCAGGTGATGTGCCGAAGCAATCGGAACCAGGTCTGAGTGTTCATGGGCCAGCTCTTGTTCGGGCGGTCGACCGGATAGTGCTGGTGCTGCAAAGAATTATAATCTAAGCTTAGAATGGGATCGACGTCAGAAGAAAACAACACGGAGACCATTCGATCTGAAATTCGTATCAAAAGCAAGCCATTAATCACATAAAAAGAATGAAGAATGGAGAACAAAATACGGAAAGTTTGTTTGGCATGAGAAAAGGTCTATGAGAAGTACACGCATCTCAGAAAGTCTGTCATTCGTTGTTTATGACCGTTAATTCGTTCGCTCGTTCGTTGGTTGGTTTTCGTTCTTTTCGGACGATTTTATCCGTTGTGTTTTGTGAGCGCGCGCGCCATGGCATTTTTGAAAATGTTCTTGGTCAGTTTTCCCGTCACGTATGGGTTTCTGTTTGCCCATATTTATAAGTACACATAAATGCTGCTTTTGCGACAACGATATTCTCTCTCTCTCTCTCTCTCTCTCTCTCTCTCGATCTTTTCCTACCCACTCACTCACTTGCTAGCTCTGTGTATTTTTCATGCAACTTACGTATACCTTTCCATTAAAAAATCTCCTATGGCTGCATTTGAAATGTTTATTTATACAATTTTCGAAGGAATGTTGTTTGTATTTGAGTGTACCGTTTATTTTCCTTTTACAGTTTCGTTTTTTATTTTATTTTCTCTACCGCTTAGGCCGGGCGCTGCTCAAGATTTTCATACGTTTTGCATCAACGACAACAACAACGAAAATATATAAAGCGATGATAGTAAGTGTAATGTATACCTCGGCCACACCGACATGAACGAAAATTGTGTTTACTCAAAAGAAAAATTATGCGAGTGTTGTGAATATAATAAATGGGCGAGGGTGAAAATTGGTACTAAACGTAATGAAAAAATAACAAATTGAAACGAAAAGAGAGTTATTCTCCACACACACACACACACACACACACACACACACACACATGCACTAAATAAAAAATGGAAACGAAGACGAGAAAAGATATGAAAAAATTTCATTAAACATACAGTACTCAAATAGTACGGTATAGTGTTCGGTGCGTATATTATCGCCCCCGGAATGTAGGTGCTCATTTTATTACATTATTCCATTATTTACATATGCTTTTTTTAGGAAGGTAAATCTAAATGAGAAACAAACAAACGTATCGGTTCATTGACTGGCTGGGTAGCTAGTCTATGTGGTAGTGATAGTGTTGATGATAATATGAATGACCAAAAAGTACATTAAAAGCATAGAAACGTGTATTTACATGCATATTCACAGCAATTTGATTGAAACCGGCTCTTTTAACTTGAATTACGTTAATTGTTCTCTCTCTCTCTCTCTCTCTCTCTCTCTCTTTGTGTGTGTGTTTGGTTCATTAAAAATGCGACTGCCACAAAACTATTGCGACAAATGTATCGATTTCACATTATGAATCCGTAACGCACATACGACTATGGTCTACATCTAAACCGTAACCGTTTTTGTTTAGAGAACTTTCGAATGACAAATCCACCTAACACAATTAAAATTTAATTCGTTCAATATAGATGGGGTTTTGTGTCAATTGAAAATCGAAATGGATTGAAGAGGTGAAACGAGTGGAAGTGAAGCAAACGATAGATAGACATGGTACAGAAAAAAAACATAGCATAATGCACAAATTCCAATTCGATTGTCAACAGAATCGAAATTCTTGGACAAGGATCGAAATCAAACAGAAAGCACCAATTTATTTGGCTCAAACTGTTGTACACGTGTTTTCGATTGAAACACACACGCACATGCACACAGAAAGAGCGGCGGTGGCGACGTAAATGGTGGCATACATGCATCCGTACAATACATGCCGATGCATAAAAGGCGTAAAATTAAAAATTGGATTCCAGCGAAACGTTGGCGAATGCCAAATACAACATATGTATACGGGATTCTGCAGTTAATGCATTGAACCCGGCATCCAGTTTTAATTTAATAGAATTAAAAGCAAATAATTGAATCACATCAATCGAGCACATGGTGCAATTACGAAATTATTCTACTGCACTGACCGTACATTCGATAATAGCAGCAGCCGAAGCAGCAGGAAATGAAAACCAATTGAGCCGGATTGCGCACATAACCAGTGTCATTCGGTCAATAGTAATTTTTTTTTTCTGTTTGAAAAGCACATGCAATTTATATATAAATATATTCACATTCGGAAATAATTTCTCACCTGTGATTCAGACGGCAGGAAAAATGTCACAATATCAGCAAATGTACGTTGATTATATTTTCAAAAGCAAACCAAAAACAAATTCCGTCAATTTCACTGATTTTTATTATTCTGTATTCTTTGTGTAGTTAAAATTCTTCGTAATTTTTTCGACTTCACTTCAAAATCAGTTTAACCCGGTTTTAGTGCAGTAACAATTTATCGTTTGCGCGAAGGAAAATGAAAAACACAAAATAAAAGCAAAAAATTTCAAAAACACGGATCGAATTCAAATATTCATTCACTGATAAATCGGTTGTATAAATTGATTGAAATAGATCGACTGTTGTTGTTGCTCGAACACACTCGGGCAAGTCCAGTAATTGTTTGTGCAAGACGATTAATTAACATACAATTGTGGTTTGCAATAATGAAATAGCAAATAGCCGTGACTAGCTACGCTGCCTGATATACACACAGATACAAACACTTTGGCGAAATTGATGCGAGTGTGTCGTGACAAATGACGCGCTAGATTATTGTTAGTAGAAATTGGACAATTTTAGTACTTAGTCTGTATGAATCGGTTTGTCGCCTCTGAATGATAAGTTCGGTACAGTAACGAGTCAATTGCTTCAATATTTTGCGATGATATTCAACACATTTCTTTTTGTGTGTATTTTGATGGTCACCACTGGATGATCTGAATCAACACGCAATATCGACATAAAACTCGTTTTTTCTTCTTCTTCGCTTGTTATTTTTTTGTTTGAAATTCTTTAGTTCGATTCGTTTAGTGTCTCAATTGCTCGACCAACGATTCTTTAGACTTTTTCTTTATTCACATCTGATTGTTATTTATTTGATTGATCTTTTTTATTCGGTGGTGTCGTAAGCGTATTAAATCAAGAGTTCTACCGGTTCACGCGTACGGAGTGGAGAAATAAAACATGAAAAACATCAACGAACTAAACGAATTAGTAGGAAATGCTCGTCGATCGGCACAAAAAGAATGTGATGTACGAGATTTAATATTACACGTACGAGAGACGCCCAGAGTTTGATGATTTTTTTCAAGTTTTATGTCGAAATCAATGTTTAAAATATTCAGTCAGTCAGTCATGTTTCGTTCAGATCTTTCACTTTGGGTATATCGAAGAAAAAAAAAGAGAAACAAAACAGCAAAACCGATTCGATAAATTGCTGCTCAACACTTATACACAAACACGTACAATTTCACTATTTCTTTATAATATAGTAATTTTTCTGCATTCGTATTCGGGCTCGTACAATCGTACACACAGTTTACAGTTTTGGCAATACAATTAAAAATTACATAATTTATTCGCGCTGTGGTGTTGTTGCGGTGATAAATAGTTGTAGTTGTGCGTATACACTATTTTGACGCTCACTGGTGTTTGCTAATTTGTGTTCGGACTGTAATATCTTGTCAGTCTGTCGAATACGGAACGAATGAAACGAAACGAGCACAACATGCGATCAACACTGGAATGACCACGAAAAAAAAACCCAAACGTAAGCGGTGGCGGCAACGGCAGCAGCAAGTTGTTTCGTTGATATTTGTCGCGCTGTTTATTTTTATACATACATACTTATACTCTGTTCGTATATGAAATGGTCGCAATTTTCTTCTTCTTATTATTCTCTGTCACTTTTGTTCAGTTTGCAAACGGTTTGTGTGTTTTGTTTTTTCCAGTTTGGTTCTTTTTTCTCTCTCTCTCTCTCTTTTCTGTTCATAAACAACATTTACATAGACAACTCAACTCACTGACGACTGTTCTTTCTGTTTTTATTTCTGTCCGGTTATCGTGTGCGTCTGGAAATACACAAATTACGGATCGAATCGTTAGCAAATAACTATATGATTATAACCACAAACAGATGAGCGAGTGAAAAATACCAAAATCTGATTGACACAAGAAAGTAGGCAATAATAATTTGCAATATGACTTTTAAATGTTGTTGTTGTTAATTGTTTGTGAATAAATTCTGTTTTTTTGTCCTTCGTCTTATCAGTTGGTAGGGATTTTTGTCGGATCGAATATGAATAGTGACAGTAGTCACAACAATAACAAAATATAACTGTGAACACGGAACAAAATATTGAATAAAGCACTGAACAGTATCTGTGTCTCTGTGTCTCTGTGTTGTAAACAAAAGTCAAATTCAAAATTATTTTCGATCATTGGTGAAGGTGATGTTGCCTCTTTTATTTTCGAGGAGATTCGAACAAATGAACGATTCTTTTCGATTTTGGTGTGCGTGCTCCGAAACCAGCGAAATGCAAAATGATGATACTTTTTTTTTTAAAGATGATTATATATTTTCTCTTTATACGGATTTATTTTTTTTTTCTGTTTATGTTTCTTCGGTGATTCGCTGCTCGTTTTGTATTTGTTTGCATGCGAACGCGCACGGTGAAAATACACACGGATAAACACACGAAGGCCGAAACACCAATTGGTGTACACGTAACGAATAATTCGGATCTTTTTTTTTTCTTTCTCTCTATCTCTCTTTTGTGTTCAAGATGTTCGTACTACTTTGATTTCGTCGAGATGAATGTGCGCGTCAAAGGAAATAACGTCTGTCCTCAATCACATTCAAAATAAGACTGGTGTCTATGCTTCATATCGTAAACACAGGCACAGCAAGAGCGAGAGAGAGTTGACGTTGAACGTTGTTGTTTGTTGTATGCTCCAAGCAGCACACACAGTAGCGTTGGCAGCACGGCAACGGCAACAGCACCAACAGCAGCAGCAGCAGCAGCAGCAGCAGCAATCGGGCCAAATGCAAGAGTGTCTGATTGCTAGCGCAGAGAGAACGGGCAGGCGAGCGAGCAGACGAGTGTTGTGTGTGCGGGAGAGACGTTTCAGTGCATGAAGAGAGCCGCAACGACCGTATGCGTTCCGACTATTCCAACCAGAATGAATGTTTGTTTTTGTTGACATTCAATGTGTTTGTGTTAAGCAAGAGCCGAGCAAAGAGACGAAATCGAATTCATGAGAGTATAGCGAACGAGCGAGCGAACATGCGGTTCGGAGCGTATTATGAATCAAGTGATTGAGAACTGTTAAACTGACGAGCAGTATTTTGGAGCTGAGTTTCATTGCCGTTTTGAAGGCATTGATTTAAGTTTGAGCAATAAAATTTGCCACATGATGCAAAAACGGTTTAGTTTTTTCTCCTTCTAACCTGCTTTGTTGTGGGATGAGAGCAAAAACGTAAACGCAACGCAATCAGTTTTTGGTTTAATTGCCATTTTTTGATAACTGATTATGGGCAAATCCGTATGCCAATGAACATGAGCAAAACGCGCGAGTAGGTCGAACGGATGAAAAGATCGAACGAGCGATTCGAAGGGAAAAGAGTGCATCGAATGTGTGTCGAAGTGTGTATTACACTTGAGATTGGCCGTGGATTATATGGATATCAGAGCAAACAAGTGCATTTTGCATGAATTTCGCCGCTCGTTTGTATAAAGTTTATTGCATGCATTCGAATCTTTTGTTTTCTTCTATTTCTTCTCACTCTCTCTCTCTCTCTCTCTCTCTCTCTCTCTCTCTCTCTCTCTCTCTCTCTCTCTCTCTCTCTCTCTCTCTGAATACATCCCAATTTAAGCCGAACTTTAAACCACCAAATAGCTATGCGTTCTAACAGATTTGGCCAATACAATCTATAGCACTGCACTACCGTCGGAGCATCTTGTTTTTTGTTTTTGCATCGGAAGTCTTTAATATTCTACCGCATGTGTACTCCATTTCACATTGAATTTTGCAATGATTTCCGCAATTATGTGCATGTAATTCACAAGTTGATCTCAAACAATTTTCTTGGTAAAAATTGGTCAAAAGTTCATTATGAACAGTTCGTCCGTGTTACCGATCCAGAGCAGGAGCACGATAGATGGACTAACACACTTGGTAAAAGTAAAACGATGTGTGTTTAAGTCAGCACATTTCTTGTTTTATGGACGTGGCTCCAACTTTATCTTTATCTTAATGGTTGCTTTGTTCAGTCGCCTGTGAAACACTAAATTTCCGAAACACACATTTTTGAAACCGAACCAGAATAGAGACAAAAAAAAAACTATATATGTGGAAGAAATGTTCCACTTCAATTAGAACACGCTAGATAAATTTGGTAAATTTGGACGAGAGCAAGATTGAAAATGGGAGTGAATGGTTTTGTTTCTTTGTGCTTCTTTCGTTCTTCTACAAAAATTTTATCACATAATTTCCATAAAGATTCACCATTAAGCATGCATATTTATGTCGTTTGCTGTGCGCTTTGTGTGCAGCACCGACACTGACCGGAAATTTCAACCATACACTCAAAGTATGGCCAGTCATCGAAACCCGTAACTTAGCATTTGCATTTGTTTATCGAACATCAACATAGTCATCGTTTGAAAATTGATTGCATTCTCCATATACTTACTTATTTGGGCATATGCGTGTGTGACTCCAATGTGTTGGTGTGTTCGAAATCGTTCTTCATCGCATGTTGGGATGCAGTTCCGAGAGATAGATAATGTGTGAAAATGGGAGTGATAAAATAAGAAACAAAACGGCATTTTTCAACCTCGTATTTTAAATCGTTGTGAGATGCCAATGATCAGCTCCAGTGCATTTTCACCGAAAATGTCATCAATTATTTTATTGATATGCTATAACAATTTTGTGCATGGGATGGCACATACATATTGTGTGTGGGTGTTTTTAGTGGTATCAATGGTAACACGTCAGTTAGTTGACGACACTGACATTACGATGACATTGTTCGCACAAGCATTTTGTCCACTTAACTTAAATGGTTTCTTGATTTAATCCGATGTGACAATATATTTTGTGCATTTGTTTGTTCCGACTAAACGGTGATAAGACGCGATGGGTGACCGTTATTACTTTGTAGAAGAATGTGAAGTGTGAACAATGATCGTTGTGATACATTCAATCGCAATAGAAATAGAAATAGAATGGAGCCAACATATGCACACAATACATGAATTGAATGTTCTCGGATGAGCATGTTCACCACACACACACACACACACACACACACACACCGACTCATTTTAAGGTAGTTTAGCTGAAAATCGTTGCGCCAATAAATAATCGTGTGTATATTTGAAATATATAACTATGATTTTCCATGCCATTTGCCAAATTGTACATCTTATACACATTGTATACACCAATCAATTGAAAACATTTAAACCACGGCTAACATAAGCCCAGATATCATGCACATCAGTCACACTTTTGTCTTTATGCAATTGATTTGATTTATCGAATGGCGTTCTTATTGAATTAATATGTTCATTGCATTTCAATTGAATTTACGTGGCTGGAGCATTTCCACTCAGATGCATCCCGCAAACGAATAGCTATGCAATTTCAATTGGTCAAGAGTTACAGAGAAATAGACGTGCTTATACGCATACATACATTTCTCGATGGCATTCAGCATCATTGTCGTTGAAAACTTGAGCAATTTAAGCCGTAAATCAATCATAAGTATCAATTAACGTGACAATCCAATGTAAGTGGCAGTGCAAAAATAAATTATTCAAATGGATCGTTTGGTTGGTTTTGTGAGATAGAGTGTGTATGTGTGTGCATGTTGAAAATGTCATCAACAACTGGAGATGTGGACACGAATTTTGTACGGCATTCATGCACATGTGACGCCATTTACCCAAAGTAAGAAAAAAAATAATCTAAATGGTTTTAGAGAAATGGAGAAAAACATGACTGTAGATGGGTTTCATTGAATTAGAATGACCATCACAATGCCCAATCCACCCACTCGCCACAACTTCCATCAATTTGCATTATTGACGTAACTATCAGCCGAGAAACTCATTTATTTCAGCTCCAAGTGCTATCTGATTTTAACACTGCATATAATTTAATAATTAAGAGAAATTCCACACCAATATCTTTCATGTATTGTTATAAACAACAAAGAGAAAAAAAAACCTGACTTTTCCATAGTCAAGCACGAGTTTCAGCTGCCATAAAAGAAAAGAACAACAACAGACGGGAAACTTTTGTCGAAATGCGAGCCCAAAAATTCTATCCGCTCCGTTCATTGTTCGAAATGCGCGATGAAAAGCAGAGAAACAGCACCGAAGAATACACCTTTCGAAAAGCACTGAAGTGCACTTTGAAAATTGTACATTTCTTTGGATTCGTTCATTTTACAGTTGAGAATCTTTTGTGCGTGGGAACCGACGATTTTCACACAATCCATTCTAGAGACGTGCCGTGCTCAAGTAAAACGAAATCAAGAGAATTGAAAGAGGTTGAACGGTGGATGAGAGAGAAAGGCAGTGAGTGAGTTAGTGAGAAAGAGAGAAAGAGAAAAATGAAATCAGTTAACCATAAAATTGTAGTGTTCCACACAGACATTGTCTTGGGCAAAATGTTCGAATGCTCCTCTATATGTGCTATGTGCATATGGTTGCTGTGTGTGCATGTGTAAAGTGCATATGTTTGCATATGTGTATTCATTGTGGGTACCTGCAGTGTGTAAAAGATTTTCGACTCAACGCCAGCCAGTACGCAGACAGCGAATTACCTGTTTGCATTGCAAATTAAGACGATGAGAAGAAAAGCACATACTCGATGACATTGACTCATTTCAAAATCTCTTACATGTGGTTTTTCAGTTGTACTTTTTTCCCCTCATTTTCCTTGCATTTTGGATTTGGATTTAATTAATTCGAGATTCGGTGAATTTTCTAATTCAACAGTCAAATGCCAAGAGAGAGAGAGAGGGATAGAGAGAGAGTGAGAGGTTAGAGATTGTTTGCATACCAGATGACGACTTGTCATTCAATTGAGTAAACATGAAAAATGTTGCAATGGTTTTGTGGATTGTGACCACAATTTGAATCTGATGACTGTTTACATGTTTGGCTATAGAGCCAGCCGGTCGGTCGGTCGGTCATCTGTTGGTCCGGTTGGTTCATCGGTCGAACAGCAAATCGGTGCTATATTTGATTTCTGATGGAGGAAGCCGAACGGCGCAAAATTAATGAATGCCACTTGCTAAATCCAATGAATGATTGTGCAGACAAATCGTATTATAGTTTGTTCATTTATCAAGGGTGTGTATGGCTCGTGTGAAAATGCGTGATTCAGCCTCAAATAGAGATTATAATGATGGTATTATAAATATTGACACAAACTAATGACTTGATAAATCGCTTTATCACTTTTTCATGTGTAGAAAATCGAGAGCGAGATGGCGAGATGGCGAGAGGTCGAGTATACAATCATCCTCTCAAGGAAGATAATTTACTCAAGCCTCAAACACTTTGCTGTTGTGCTCCGGATTCAATGAAATGGTCAAAATCAATATTCACAACACGAAATCCAACAACACACGCTCACTCTCACACTTACACTTACACAATATCAATGTTGATGATGACGACGATGATGGTCGATGGACGACGAATGGGACATTTGCCAAAGCCGAAAGAATAATGCAAAAGAATTGTGTACGATGTTCATTTAACGAATCGAACGAGGCGAAGATGAATCGCAGCGAGCGAACAAAAGGAAGCGTAAATTATGAATGGAATAGAAGTGAACGACATCAATTTGAATTATTATGAAATCATTAAGCAGGAAAATGAAAGCGAGTCGTAGTCACGACAGCCGCATCAGCATCAGCATCAACAGCACACCAAAGTATGCAAACAATGACACACTGCTCATGGA